GGGTATTGAACGCTGTTTTGTGTTCATCCCCCTCCCGAATGCGCACTCTGTAATAAGCCTCTCATAAGTCCAGATTGATGAAAATGCGCCCCTGGGAAGCTTCTGCCAGGAGGTCTTTGGTGAGCAGGAGGGGGTAGCCATTGGACATAGACACTGCGTTTAAACCCCAATAGTCTGTGCTCAGTCGCAACCCACCATCCTCCTTCTTCTGGAAGAGGACGGGGGTGGCAAAGGGGGAGGAGGCTGGGTGGATAAAACCGCAGGTGAGGTTTTTATCAATAAACCTGTATAGTTCCTCCTTTTCAGTTGGGCTCATAAGTATAGCTTCCCTTTGGGCATTTGGGCCCTGACAAAATTTCTATCACACAGTCTGACTTTCAGTGGGGGGGGAGCTTGTCTGCCTCCTCCTCCTCAAACACTCTATTCAAGTCTCTATACTCAGGAGGGATGAGATCGAGCTCCTCCTTGCACCAAACAAACATGCTCCAAAACAGGAGTTGGCATCCCCCCCCACTCGGAGTTCCACCCATGGACCTTGCATCGTGGGTCTGGGAAGTGCAGGGAGCCCCCACTCCATTGAACGTATGGGTCAGGATCTCGGAGAATTTTGCGGCAGGGGTAATAATGAATGGACGTTGCTCCCAATGGGACCCCGTCCCCAATACCAGGGGCACTGTTTGATACTTGCATGCCTCTTTCATTGGGGACCCATCCATCTGTGTGAAAACTATAGGCTCAGGCAGTACTTGGATGGGTACCCCAAGCCCGGTGACTAGCAACGGGCTGATTAAGTCTCGGGCACATCCAGAATTGTTCAGGTCTCTCACTCGTATTTGAGTACCCTGCTTGGGATTTATTACAGTCACAGTCACATAGAACAAAAGAGGAGAGGTTCTCACCGAACTTGGCGCATGGGACTTTCGGACCTGCCTTGTTGCACCCTTTACAGCAGGTCCCATCCGTTTCCCACCAGCTTGCCTGCCACGTCTCCACTGGAGGAGGTGGTGTCCGGCTGTTGTTGCTCTCCTGCTTGAAGCGCCTTGGGATGCTTCCTCCCTGCTCCTCGCGGCTTGGGCTTCCTCGCAGAAGTCTTGCTTTCACTCCCCTTCCCCTCTCCGGGGTTCTTTTCAAGAGGGCAGCTTACTCTAAAGTGCCCCGGGGCTCCACATCTCAGGCATATGCCCTGACGCATCCATTGGTCTCTGATGGCCTCTCTCGTCTTGGTTTTCACCCGTCATTGTTCTGTCGCCACCACCGTTGCCTTTGCAGGAACCCAGGGCTGGTACATCCGCAAGAGGTTGGAGAGGTTCTCCACCTCGCAGGCCATCCATTCAACGTTAGCGGGTTGCCCTGGGCCAGTGCCTGATCCAGAATTGCGTGGTTCAGCCTGGCCCGATAAAACTCAATGAGGATCTCTTTGGGCCACCCCTGGAGCTTCACGGCATTTGTTTTGAATTCATCAGAGTACTCCCACACTGTGTCCCCCCCCCCCCGCGCAGGCCTCTCAAGTGGGTGCGCTCTCTCTCTAGCTCCAGGAGGTCCTCGTATTGGTGTCGGAGGGCCCACATGAAGGCATTCACATCTCGAAGTTCTGGTCCCTGGACATTGTGGAGGCCCACGAACCAGTCGGCTGCCCAGTCCCGGAGACGCGACCCGATAAAATCCACATGGTGCTTGTCTGTGGCGAAAGTGGGGCCCCAATCGCATAAGAACTTGCGCACCTGCAATAGGAAAAATGCCAGCTTCTCTGGAGTGCCGTTAAATGTCACTTCTAGAGCATCGCATGGCCGCTCCGGAGCCGCCTGGGGTGCAGGCAGCCCGTTTGGCCCAGCCAGGTCAGCACACCCGGAGGTGCTGGGGGGAGAAGCGGAGGCACTTGCGGAGGGGCCAGCGGCGCCCTCCCAGTTCCTTCAGGGGCCCGTTCATGATTCCGGAACTCTTGCTGGATGGCTTCCATGATGATGCCCGGCATGTCCAGCATCATGCTTTGCATCTCTTGCCTTCTCTCTTCAGCCTCACCCCTGAACTCCCTGCGGAGATGCTCAGCTTCAGTGCCCTCCACAACACAGATGTGCTCTGGTTCCTCCCGGAACGAGCGCCCGTAGCGCCATTGGGGGCCGTCACACGCGGATCTCTTGGACCTCGGATCAGGAGTCAACAGCCAGGTTGGCTCAGCCCAGGTGGGGAGAGGCGCCCGTGCTCCTCCCTCAGCCCCTTTAGGCTCCACGGCCGTCACTGGAGTCGCTGTGGTCCGTTGCTCCAGCACGGTGCTGTCCGCCGTAGTTGTAGGGATTTCCCCGTCCTCACCGCTCATCATATCTGTGGTGCGGGAGGTTGAGGAAGAAAAAGGGAGTCCTAACAATTTGTCAGGCTCCTGGTTAAATCAGTTCTCAACACCAGCCAGTTTGTAGAAAGCTAACTGTATTGAGACAGTTGATAGATACCATCCTGGACACATCTATTGTTAGGACTGAAGTTAAATGTGTGAAGGTTGTAGATATAGTGGATTCAAGTAAAGGCACTAAAGATCAGGACCCAATCACCCCACGGTATTTGCCCGCCAGAACTAACCGCCAGCTCCCCCCCCTTCCCCCATAGGCACATAGCCTTTACCTACCGTGTTTCCCCGAAAATAAAACACTGTCTTATATTTATTTTTTCTCAAGAAGACACACTAGGGCTTATACCACAAATGCATAGAAATCTTGCTAGGGCTTATTTTTTGGGTAGGTCTTATTTTCGGGGAAACAGGGTAGTAAGGAAAACAGGATCACAGACATTTGAGAAGCCGGGACATTTGGCATCCCTAGGGTGACAAGCCCCGGGCACATCAAAGAGAGCGATAGAGGAACCTCCTCTCCCAATGACAGGCGAGCTGCAAAATGCAAAATGCACAGGGAGTCTGACACCACTGTCTGCTCCCTTCCCTTTTCCCATTTCCTGAGCTGCCTAGAGAAGCTTCTCTACCAGAAGAACAGGATTGTCATCTGGTCGATGAGCCCCTAGCTGGAGGCAGCGGGAGAGGTGGGCGGAGGGGACAGGAGGCTTCTCTGGAGTTTGGTGTAGTGCCAGTTTGGTGTAGTAGTGTAGTGGTTAAGTGCGCGGACTCTAATCTGGGAGAACCGGGTTTGATTCCCCACTCCTCCACTTGCACCTGCTGGATGACCTTGGGCAAGCCATCATTCTGATAAGAGCTGTCCTTGAAAAAGAGCCATTTCCGTCAGAGCTCTCTCGGCCCCGCCTCCCTCACAGGGTGTCTGTTGTGGGGAGGGGAAGGGGAAGGAGTTTGTAAGCCGCTGTGAGACTCCTTTGGGTAGTGAAGGGCGGGGTATAAATCCAATCTCCTCCTCCTCCTCCTCCTCCTCCTCCTCCTCCTCCTCCTCCTCCTCCTCTATTATCTCTATGCCCCAGAGAAGAATCGGAGGGAGGGGGCAGGGCTGTTAAAAACTCACATTGTGATGCTGCAGAGACAAAACAAAGTTTCCAGGCAGTTGCTCACAGGGAAAAGATCCGTCTCTAAAAAGCAGCGGGAGTCCCAGATAAGGTTGCCAACTGACCAAGAAAGGGGGCTGGTTTTCACCTCTGCCTTTAATGGCAGCCTGACCTATAGAAATCAGTAAGCAACTTTTTGACGAAACAGAGCAAGTTGCCGTGGGATGCACAGGAACAAGAGCTAGTAAGAAAGAAGTTGGCAACCCCTTGGGTGAGGATAATGGTCGAGGATTGTGCGGGGAGGTGCTGGCATTTGGTGCTGGTGAATGGAAAGAGAGAGGTGCTGGATGGATTTGGGGGTGGGGGAACCAGGGAGAAGAAGTAAGGGAGGGAATTCATTCAAGGCTGCAGTCCTCCGGTGCACGTTTACATACAAGTAAGCCCCATCACAGTCACACTTTGCGTTAACAAGGACTGGATCCAGCTAACTGGAGCAGGTCCTAGGAACAGTGAGTTGCTTGGTTGTTGTTTTTTAAAAAACAGAAATCTCACACTCTGGCTGGGAAAGGAGGAGGCGGCTCTCTCTCTCTGTGTTCTCTCCGGCTTCCTAAAGTTAGTGCTGATGCAGGACTCTCCTCACCTGCCAGACCTGCTACGACCTTCCTTTCTGTGATGTTTCTCATCCATTCCGCTATTTGTGCTTTGCCAGAACGTCGTGAGGCTGCGTGTGGAGGATTCACTTTGCCTTTGGCCTTGCTGGCGCCCAACACAAAGCCGGGCCTCAACCTGGCTTGAGTTCTTGGCATGTTGCAGAGGACTCCTGTGTCCTGGTCAACAAGTTCTCATATTCTAGCAAACAGGTGCTACAAAATGAGAACTCCCCGCCCCCCCCCCCACCCACCCAGTGAATACGGAAGTAACTGGGGGCAGGGTGGGGAGGGGAGTGTCTGTCTTTTGGTTTTGTGTGTGTCGGAAATTCCGTTTTGTTAGAAGTTTGGGAAGAACTGCTGCTAAAATTGTCGCTTACGCTGATAGCTGCAGTGAATATTTTTCAGAATGTAAAGGTGAAATGAGCCATTGAGTTGCAACTTAATCAGGGAAGCCCCACGGCTTCAAGGCAAGACGTGAGCAGAGGTGGCTTGCGGTTGCCTCCCTCTCCGTAGTGGCCCCCGGGAGTCCCTTGCTGGCCTCTCAGGCGGGTGTACTGACTGTATTGACCCCGCTTCGCTTCTGAGTGCTTGCAAGATCAGGCTAGTATCTAGAATGTACAGGAGCACAAAGAAGCAGCCGAAGTGTGTGTTCATGCATGTGTAGAACACTGTGAATATTACTCTGTTCCGTTATCTTCCTTCCAGGTGATTTATATATGCTGGAAAGCAAGCACAAGCAAGTTTGTGAGATGACCATTTCCTGCCTTCCAGTATCACAGAGACCTTTTCTATGCATAATTCGAAAGCCTTGTTAATAGGGACATAGCTTTGTTTGTGGGACTTCAGGGAGGCTCCGCAGGACTCACATGGCAATGCCCTCCTATGCTGTTCTGTTTTTCTTTCCTTCTCTCCCTCTAGATCATTAAGGACCAGAAGCTACTAGTGATAGTTGGTGGGATGCTGCTGATAGATCTTTGCATCTTGATTTGCTGGCAGGTTGTGGATCCCTTGAGGAGGACAGAGGAGAAATACAACATGGAGGTACGTCGTGGCAACTGCTTGTACTTACCCCATTTGCTGTTGGGAATGGCAGTGCAAAGCAATGAATGGAAATGTGGATTGTTTGAGTGAAAAGGAAAGGAAAAAAAACTACTCGTGACAAAGAACGTTGTGTCTGCGTTCTCAATAGAGCCCTGCATCTCTGCCTCATTTACTAGTTTTCAGATGCAGTAAGGCTGTAAATACAGGGGAGTTCCCTGCTAAGAGATGGTGCTGCAATAAATAATAGATTTTCAGACTCCATTAGCAGAATTCATGAGAAACTAATGTAAGCTAGACATAAAGTAAAAACTACAAGGAAAACACAGAGCTACAAGGAAAATACAGAGCTGTGTTACCACTGTGAATCTGTTATAATTTTAACATCCATTAGTTTTCTTGAGCTAGTTCACTCATATGTAATGACATCCTTCTTTAATGTCATGCCAAGAAAGGTTATCCTGGACATATAGAAGATCCCGGGTGGCAGGACAGCTTGTGTGCTATTTGACTAATTGGGCTTGCTAGCTGTGTGTGATATCATTATGGAAGGAATGCCTTTAACGGGAAATGGCCGCGTTCTTTAATGAACAGGTGTGCGGTGGCTGGATATACTAAGCGGCGTTTGTGTGTTGTGGGATATATTTAATAAATTGATTTGGAGCGGAATGTCTGTCTCGCTTGGTTTGCATTTTTTCATGACGTGCCCACAGGCAGGCTTAGGGTCCTCGAACCAGCTTCCTTCGCCCAGCAGGGGAGGGGTGCCCAAGCGAGGAAGAATCCCTTTTCCCCTGTGACTCTTTCAAACAGTCTCCTCTCTGAAATCCGCAGGACTGGCCTGCTTGTGCTTACGAGGCAGTGCAAAACCGTTGTTTTTCAGTGAGCTTTTGGAACGTGTACGAAGCTGCTGACTGTGCATTGGTGGCGGCCGAATCTGCTGCGATTTGTCGTTATGCTTTCGATATTTTTAACTGGTTATATTTTAAGGTGGATGCATTTGTAAGTCGTCTCGTTGTTAGGCGGCAAATGTGTGGCAAGGCAGGAGAATTAATCTTGTGCCATCTGCTCCCGCTTGCTGTATTCTCTGATCAGGTAGCATGCTTGAATAGTGCTATTTATGGAGCCACCCCATGCTGGAGACGTATTTAAGATGTGCCTGCACGGGTTTTATGAGTCTGTAGCGGTCCTTGTGGAAGAGGCCGGCTGCTCCAAACTTGGCACATAAGAGAACCTGCCCTATGTCCTCTTACTGACAGCTCGTATCCTTGGCTTCGGGAAGCTGGGGGCAAGATGTACGAGACATTCCAGACATTTTTATATCACTCAGGAAGAAGCCAGGCAAAGGTGGTGAACTGTATTTGCATTGTTTGTACCAGGGCTGTTTTTGGGCAGGAACGCACAGGAACGGAGTGCCGGCTGGCTCCTGAGTTGGCCACGCTCAGCAGGAACTCATTAGCATAATAGGCCACACCCAACAGCAGGAACTCATTAGGATTGGCAACATTAGGGGTGTGTGGCCTAACATGCAAAGGAGTTCCTGCTACAAAAAAAAGCCCAGGGTTTTGACAACAAAGTAAACAGAATAAGAAGCAAAAGGTGGGTGTGGCTGGATGACCTCCCTTCTGGTAACATGGGGGTGTGGCCTAATATGCTAATGTGCTGTACTGTCAAGGGTGTGGCCTATTATGCTAATGAGTTCCTGCTGGGTTTTTTCTACAAAAAAAAGCCCTGGTTTGTACCATTCATACCATAGACTCATAACTTTTCCTGAGCCCGTGGCAGCCATCTTCTGAGTCGGGGGCTTTTTCTCCAGGCATGAGCCTGCAGATTTTTTGCCACAGCAACTGGATTCCCTGTGGAGATGTAGGGCTTTGTAATAAAATGAATACCACCCGTACGGAAGGATTTCAGTACTGCAAAGAACACGCGCTTAGGCATAAAGGGTGGACCATCCGGATCTCTTACAACTTGAGAGCATGTTTTCTTTTTCTCATGAATGAAATGAGGAGTGCATATTTTATAGTGTCTTGGGTGAAATTTATTAAGGCGCCCAGGAGCCCTTCTGGGGCATGTTCGCTCGATGGCAAGGCAGCATTCAGAGTATTAAATTGTATCATGAGACCCTTTCGTACACAAACCAGGATCACATCCCAGACCATCTTGCCATTAGTGACAGAAAAGTTCCTGTTTTCATTCTGGAATTACGTTTGTCTATGTTTCTGAAAGCACATTACTCAGTCTAGGGCAGTGATGGCGAACCTTTTAGAGGCCGAGTGCCCAAACTGCGACCCAAAACCCACTTATTTATCGCAAAGTGCCAACATGGCAATTTAACCTGAATACTGAGGTTTTACTTTAGAAAAAACAACTCATACATTAACTTAAGATGATCCAAACAAAGTAAGGAAAGCAATCCCAAATGCTTTCGTTTACTTAAAATTATTTGGCAGAGAATTCCACACTTTAATGATGGTCTGGGCCTGGCTGGGGCGATGGCACACGTGCCCACAGAGAGGGCTCTGAGTGCCACCTCTGGCACCCGTCCCATAGGTTCGCCAACACTGGTCTAGGGTCTACCCCGAAACCTCCCTCCTCTTCTCCCCCTTAACATAACATCCAGCCTGAAGAAGAGCCCTATAAAGCTTGCCCAGTATTTGCTAATGTTTTGGTTGGTCTCACGGTCTAACCCTACCAATGTTTAAAAAATTCTAATGAGCAACCATGGCTACAAACCTTTTGTAACTCGACCGATTCAATTTAAACGTTTGGTTTCTCTTTGCTGTCCATTGGAAAGAGCTGTGTCTGCTATGTGCGTGCGTTGGGATTCCATCTACTTCAGGGTCCCCCTTGGGGGCTGTCATCCCCATCACAGAACACTTTGCGGCCCTCAGGGATTGTCATTCCACTCTGGGGGCCGTCATTCTACTCCGGGAACACTGAGTCCATATTCCCAGGGACAGTCATTCCAGTCCCAGAACATCTATGCTCCTCCCGGGGGCTGTCATTCCAGACCCAAAGCCGTTTACCTGGTCCCAGGGGCCATCATCCCACTCTGGGGGCTGTCATTCCAGCCCCACATCAGCTGCTCTGGTCCCAAGGAACATCATCCCCGCGTGGGGGGCTGTCATTCTAGTCCTCGAACAACATTCTCAAAATCCATTAGACAGTTTCTTTGTAACTTTTGTGTGCCGTGACATATTTCAATGGAGCCAATGAAAGTCCGTTGGCATTCCAAGATCCTACCCTGTTTCCCCAAAAATAAGATTTCTGTGCATTTGTGGTATAAGCCCTAGTGTGTCTTCTTGAGAAAAAATAAATATAAGACAGTGTCTTATTTTCGGGGAAAGACGGTATTATATCCAGTGGGCCTTCAGGCAACTCCCATTTTTCTATGTGGGCATTCTTGCCATTCACTTTAGTACATCTCATCTGCAGTGTGCTTGCACAGAAATTTGCCTACTTTGGGGTCCGGTGCGACAGATCCCCTTTGTTGAATGTGCTTGAAATTGGGGAGGGGAGAGAGAGGAGGGAAGACTGTGTTCTGTGCAAATTTGGTGGTTATATATTTATTGACTGTAGCCCCAGACCCTCAAATTGGCTGTCCATTGGAAAGAATGGTATCTGCAGTGTGTGTGTGCACAGGAAACGGTCCCCAAAATTGAGATCATGAAAACACTGCATGGATTTCTAACATGAAATGTGATGCCCCCCCCCCCGAAAGCCCAGATCCCAGGCAGTAACAGATTTCTCCTGGGCACGTACCCCTGGTCATCAGCAGCATCCCCGAGTATTATGTGTGTTGGCCCTCCCATTTATGCAACAGAAACTCTGGGACAGGTAATTCTTGAGAGAGCATGTAGGAAGCATCTACCTGTCTCTCAAACTGCAGGTCCATCTGAAGAAGCTCACTATAGATGTCTACTCTCCTATGTGGGGCTTGAGTGTTGGGCAGTGACTTTGTTCAAGTGCTCGCCAAGGCTTGTAAGACGTGAGCTTCCCCACCTAGCTCGAGGGAGGGAGGGAGAGAGAGAGAGAGAGCAGGTGTATATCTGTTTTTAAAAGAAGGCCCCGTTTCTAGATGCTGGGAGGCAGAGAGGAAGCAGGCAGACGGCGGTGGGTTGCCTGAAGCGCCTTGTGGGAGTGCTGGATCTCTCGGGATATGATGCGAAGGGCAGAGCTGTGGCCCTCGAGGAGTGCAACTGGGCCTCCACCTGTGTTTCACACAAAGCAAATACTGCAGTAATTCCATCAGCCCCCCGTGCTCTGTCCTGTTAAAGGGATCCAACTCAGGGATCTCGCCACTCTGGGAAGAGGAGCAGGCATGGGAGAATGTGGGTTAAAATTTAAATGACAATTAACCTATAATCCACACATATGTATATGTTACTTAAATGGTGCTGGCCAGGCAATTCAATCAGCTAACAGCTGGATTAGAAAGAACTTTTATCAGAGAAGAGTGCATTACGAAATGAAGCATGTAATTGGCCGAGGTGGTTTCCGTGGGCGCTCGGCCTACCAGGGGTCAGAACTTGTTAGCTTGTTCTTTGAATATTGCTGTGTCCATCTGCTTCCCCCCCCTCTCTCTCGTTCACACGCACACACACACACACTCTTGTCTGAGGCACTCCAGCCGCCCTTAGGAGTTGAATGTGTCTCCATTCTAGGAGGTATTTGCAAAACCAGCGGCTGTCGAGGCCAGGCAGGTGGCCGGCAGCCAGGAGCCGGGAGCGAGAGCTGGTCTGTTTCCATTGCTACTGCCGGAGGTTCCATGGTAAGCAGGGGGAAAGTTTCATCTGGCTGCCATTCAAGGCCCTCACAAAATCCGCCGTTGCTTAAATCAGAGCTGGCTCAGGTCCAGTTTGGAAGAGATGTTCTGCATTCCTATGAAAAAAATAATCACTGTGCAATATTTTTAATCATTTCTGTACGGGTTTCTAAGGAAGCAGATGACACCACGATCACGGGAAGCCAGCAGGAGAAGCTGACTCAGCTGGTGGCCAGTT